CAGGATTTCTGCTTTTGCAAATGCAGCCAGGCTGACATTTGATTGCGTTGTACTCATCAGTATCGAGTGGCACACTGTGCGTGGGGAGGACTCGCTCTCGCTTGTGATCACCGGTCTTTAGACCACATAAATTTGAAATACTATGGTATTAAGTTAAGTATTGTATGTGTTATTTCAAACTATGAGTGCAGTTGAAATCCTCGTAGTACATACCTAATAGAAGTTATCAGTTGAAATTCTTATTCAGACTATGGTACTGAAAGCAGATGCGATCCTAGACATGGTTGTTGTCGTTGTTGTTGTTGTTCTAGTTGTTGTTGTCGTTGTTGTGGGTGTGTCTCTTGGTTCGATATGTTTGCTCTGATAGGCACTTGAACCTAGTGTTGGTTCTGTCCTATGTTAAGAAGACTCATGGTCATGCCTCTATGCTTTGATTAACTTAGCGGACTTTGTGCAGTAACAGAGGCACAACCGTGAAGTTAGTGAAGGCACGGTCATGTAGTATAAGAGGGTACGGTCGTCCCTCCCAGTTGTCATTATTTCAGTTGAGTCGTGTCCTCAGATGGCCACGTTGGTCGAGCAAGCGGAGGCATGGTACCATATTATGAAGAAGACTTGCGGTTGTGTGTCCCATGTCAAAAAGAAGTGTTGCGATCGTGCGTCCGTGTTCAGTATGTTTGTAGTGACACGCTGCTCGGAGAGGCATGTGCGTCAATCAAGTGGAGCCATGGACTCCAACTTGTTGCCACTGTCTGATGTCACTGTTCTCGCAGCGACATCACTTAAAAAATACTACTTTTTTTATAAATGGTGTTTTGCAACACCTCCGTCATCCAAACCGTCTTTCCAGATCCACCGCACCCGTCGCTCCTATATGGAGTCCGATGCTTCTCGTACCAAGAGGGCAAGGCTCGTGCCACTGATGATGCATTCCGCTGGGTGTTTGGTGGTACCGGCAGGGACTGGTGAGGGTCCACCCACTGGATCCGAGGAGCACGGGAAAAAAACTCGTCCCGACAGCATCAGCGATCTCTCGGACGTCATCCTAGGTGAGATCATCTCTAGTCTCCCCATCAAGGATAGCATCCGTACTCGCATCCTCGCCAGTCGATGGCGTCCTTTATGGCCCACCGCTCCTATGAATCTCGACTGTCGTGAGATCATTGCTGCTCGTCTTTTTAAGCCTCTAGAAACAGTTCATATCGAGAAAATCTCCGTGGCGCCTCCTACCTGGGAGCTCGCCCGCGAAAGGCACTTCGGAACTCGGTGCCCTCGCAAATCTGGCATTGATGATACGACCCTTCCGGAAGACATCCTCTCCGCCCATGGGGGCGCAGTTCACTGTCTCTGCATACCAGCGTGCTACCTCCAGTCCAGACCCTCCGCCGTTGATGCTTGGCTGAAATCATCCAAACTGAACAATCTCCAGGTGCTCGAGTTCTATTACACGTTCCCAGATTTCATGAGAGAGTGTGTCGTACGACCACTCACACAACCATCATCCGCGCCTTTTGCACCGGCGTCCTTCTCTCACTTTGCATCCTCCCTACACACCGCCACCTTTGCTCTTTGCCAAATACCAGATAGTTACATTCAGGCTCTTAAACTACCACTACTCAAGAGACTTTCACTTGTGGACGTTGTTATATCAGACATCTCGCTTGAAAGCATCATCCACTCTAGTTGCCCCGCACTCCGGTGCCTTCTACTTACTGGGAATATGGAAAGTCGTTGCGTAAGAATAAACTCACGTAACCTTGTAAGCATTGGAATTCGCTGTGGACATGGCGAACTTGTTATAGAGGATGCCCCGTCACTTCAGCGGTTGCTTAACGATATTATCAGCACCAACTTGTAGATAACTGTCATGTCTGCACCTAAAATGGAGATTGCGGGCAAATTCCATGATTTTTTCTCTGAATCCAAGGTCACGCGTAACCGTACAGTTATCGAGGTACCTAGTTTTCAGCTGCATTTGTCCGAGTAAACAAATTTCATGTAATAGAACCTTTTGTTCAATTTTTTAAATCGTTGTGCGTGCACCATACAGGGTTTGCCGGCAGTCAGCCTGTTAACAATGCTTCAAACGGTCAAGACATTGCTCGTCAAGGTGTGTTTTGAAATGGACGTGGCCGTTTCCCTGATGCAATGCTTTCGAAGCCTTGAGAACTTGTTTATCGAGGTGATGATTCTCACACACATTGAAAACCCATAACATGCATACTGTAATACTTCTACTGTATCTCTGTTTTTAGAGCTTAAGTATTTTCATTCTTCATGTACATCTAGGGAGGACTCTGTTGCGGAGAAACAAATATATGGCGTCGTAAGCACCAACCATTTGTTAAATGAGATGACTTTCGTTTGAAGAAAGTAACGCTGGATGACTATGAACCCTGCTTGGTAAACATTGAATTTGTGAGATTCTTTGTTCTGAGTGCAAGCAAGCTTGAGACCATGAGGCTTAACTACCGTTTCGACCAAGACTTCACAGAAGAATTTTACGAAAAGCATCAAAAGGATCTTCTGTGGCACAAAAAGGCTTCTCAACGTGCTCGCCTTATATTGTCAGGAGCATGCAAGCACCGGTTATTTTATTTAAAACTCACGCTTGTTGAATAGCGGGATTTGACAGACCCATTCAGCTGTGACTGCTGAACACAAAGATGGAGTAAGTTGTTCAAGGTTGGAGGTTTACATGTTGTTGCGCCCTTTTGAACGTGTGTTTTGTCTAAACACGAACAGACAACCATTGTAGTATTTTGTAGCGTCTGTAAGCTTGCCATAACAATCCTTGACCAGAAAGTGTTGTGACTGTGCAAATGAAAGTGTTGTGACTGTGCAAACGTCCATGCCTTCAAGCACATTGAATGTTTCAGCGGAAAGATTCTGAGTATTTTACCGGCACGACACTGACTCTTTGTTAGTACAGTACCATGTTCCCACTGATAATGAACTCATCAGTAGGAACCTTTGCAATACTGAAGCAAGTCCGTGATTCGTAGGCCAATAAAGCCATGTGTCTCGTGACATGATGGCTGTTCTTCGTCCTGAGTTCAGACTTTCTCTAGAAACTTCACAATCGTGATTCTCTAACTGAGTACCATGAAGGTTGGTACACGTACATGTAGAGGCCTTACTTCGGCGCCTTCTGGGCACACTTTTTTGCACCCAGCTGAGAGGGTTTATGCTGAGCCAGGCCTGGAGAAACGCCATGCCCGTGCGTGTAGTGGCTCCCCAACAGTGCCTCTGGCACCTGCATCTACGTGCCTCACGTCACCTAAGCCGTGACTGTTAGGTGCCCGTGGAACCAGACGCCCGTGGGTCCAGAGAGCTCACAACGGTGTCTCTCGAGCAGCGCATTCTCACCACAGTTTTGTATATCCATTTCGGTTGACACTCGTGCCTAAGAGGCTTCATTTTCGTGCCTCCGGTGTTTCAATACACATGCCCCCCATGACACTTGCCGTGACCATTGTGGTTGCAGAAAATACACACCCGTGCCTCCATACCCGAGTATTCAGATCCATGCCTCTGCCACCATAATTTTGTGCATCCACATGATTGACAATCGTACGTGCCTGTAGAGGCTAGACTTCGGTGCCTCCGGAACCTGCACCCTTGTGCCTCACGTGCCATGAGTCGTGGCTTTTACTTTCCCCTGAAGACACACGGGACGTGGATCTAGAGACTCCACAACCGTGTCTTTTCAACTGAGAGTTTGCAGCCATGCCTCTGCCACCACACACTTTTGTGCATCCAGGGAGTTGATACCTATGTCTGTAGAGGCTTCAATGGGGTCGGTGCCTGCACAGACTACAATTAGGTGCCTCCAGCGCCTGCACGCACGTGCCTCACATGACACTTGCCACCGTGTCGTGGCTCCACACCACCGTGTCTCTACAGACCACACAACCGTGTGTCCTTAACTGAGTATGCCGAACCTTGGCTCTGCCACCAAACTTCTCTTGTATCCGGACGGTTGATAGCCATGCCTCGTGCAGACGCACGTCTGTAGAAGCCCTGACTATTCCACCTCGTCTGTCGAAATCGTAAAACCCTAACTCTCTTCCCAGATCCACCGCACAGAGAGCTGCAACGAAGACGACACGAGCTCGGCAATGGAGATGAAGACGCGTGCCTCCAGCAACAAGAAGACGAGGTTCGCGGCTATACCCATGCTCTCTAAGCTCACTAAGAGGAGCGACCGTTAGGACTGGGCGTTCGGTTCCCCCGAACCGAACGGTGCGGTTCTTCGGTCTCTTAACAGAGTTCGGTTTTGAGAAATCAGTGACCGAACAGCTAATAAAAAATTGCCAAACCGAGGGTCCGGTGCACCGAGAAATCGGTTCGGTCATCGGGGTGACCGAACAGCACCGATATGTATAATTATATAATAGAAAAAGGCTAGCAGCAGCAGGAATCTCTGACAGTACATTACTCTGTAGCACTGCATGGCTGCATGTTAAAAGCTAGCCACCACGCCAACTCACATGCCCCTTCATACACAACATTTTAAAATAAGAAAATGATAGAATATGATTAGGGAGAGAGGTCACTTTTGGCATGTCTCAGAGTACTTACCAATTCCCTCATAAGCAGTAATAACAAACAAGTGAAAAAGCTAATAACAGGCTGCGGTTCTGAACAGAACAAGCATACCAAATTTGACTCAAAATATAGCATCCAAACAATAATTTAGCAGACGAACCAAACTCAAGTCTCAAGACACGACAATAACAGTAACGTTCGACGACACATGACACTTAGCCCTTAGGACTTAATTTGGAAATAGGAAATAGATAGTAGCCGGCAGCATACAAGAGCACAATCATTGCTGAGAATTCGCCTTCATCAACAAGCTATCCAAAACTTCTGCTCCAGCCTTCATCAACAAGTTATCCAGAACTACAACCAACAAAACAACATGATGGTTCATCCAAACAGATACACTCATAAATAAAATTATGATTTTTTCCATTTTGAAATCTCACCAATTCTTAAGAAGTAGGCTTTGTGGTGGTGGACTTGGCATTGCTTTGGAGCTTTGCTTTCTCCTTATACTCCGCAATTAATTCTGAAAACAATAATGGTGGAATCAAGCATTGTATAACCGCAAATGAACACATAGTAGAGGATGCAAAGTTAATGTATTTGAGTTACCTTGTTCAAGCTTGGTCAGCTCTTCGATGTTCTCTGCTATGCTGGGAGGAGTGCCATGTCGAAGCCAATCTTGAGTGCATACAAGAACTTCTACCATAAAAGGAGTAAGAGAAGTTCTGAAGTCATCAAGAATGCGCCCACTAGTGGAGAATGCAGACTCTGATGCAACTGTTGAAATGGGGATTGCCAAAGCATCACGAGCCAAGCATGCTAGTATAGGAAACCTGGATGAATTGATCTTCCACCAAAGTAGCATGTCAAAATTTGGGCTATCATCTTCAGTTTCCTCAGCAAGGAACTTGTCCAGCTCAGACTTGCTACTACTGCTGCCACCATTGTTCAACCTCATTTTTTTGGCAATCAAAGACTTCATCATGCTTGCGTGCCCTCCACTTGCAGATCCAGCTTCCCGAGTGGTTTGAGTCGACGCAATTTCTGGAGCATACATCACCCTATACTCTTCGAACAAATCTCGGAGACAAGTATTGATTGCAGCCCACACCCTAGGCCCTTTGTCATCCCCATACATTTCCAAAATGGCAAGATGTGTGTATTCTGCAAGCTTGTATCTGCGATTCAACAATAGATGAATTTAATATGTGCTGCTAGAGAAGAAGAAAGCTCACATAATAAAAAAAACATATTACAATACTTAAATTGTTTTACCTTGGATCAAGTGCTGTTGCAATGAAAATCAACAAGTTCATGTTATCCTTTTCCTTCCCCTTCTTGTTGGGATCGGGCTCATGCCAATTACCCCAGTATTTGTCATACTTATCCTTCATCCTCTCTGCCATTGCAATTTTCAAACCATCCCCACTGTCCATCCATTTTTTCACTAATATATTCACCTCACCAATCTCATGGAAAAAACTGTGAGCAGTCACATGTAGTGAGGCAGAAACACGAGTTGTTAGATGAGCAAAATGTGCAAGAAATTCTGCCAACTTGTTGACATTCTCCCAATCCTGCTCTTCTGGAACTCCAGGGCCCTTCTCCTTACCTTTGTCACTAAGTAGATCAATTGCATAGTACGGATCCTCATCAGCATACCTTGCAAAAACTTTCTCATAGCTAGTAGCAGCCTTCAACATATAATATGTAGAGTTCCACCTAGTGGTCACATCAAGGATCAAGAAAGCTTTAGTGTTAACTTTCTCTAGGTCAGCACATTCTTTGAACTTAGTCAGCCTACTTGGGCTGTTCCTCACATATCTAACAGCTGCACGCACACGCTTGACTGAAGTATCAACTTCTTTTAGACCATCAGTAACTATTAAGTTGACAATGTGGGCAGCACACCTCATGTGGAGATATTTGCCTTCAGATATGCAAGTCTTAGCTTTATTCAATTCCTTTTTCATATAACCAATTCCACCATCATTATTACTAGCATTATCAACGGTAATTGTCATGACCTTCTCTATCCCCCAATCGATCAAGGTTTTTTGCAAGTATTTCCCAATATCATCACCCTTATGACTCTTAACATTGAAAAGGCCAATCACTTTCTTGTGAAGTTTCCAGTCTTTACAAATGAAGTGGGCAGTAACAGTCATGTAGCTATCTTTTTGTTGAGAAGACCAACAATCAGTGGTGAGACACACTCTTTCACATTGTTCTTTAAAGAAAAGTTTCAGTTTAGCCTTCTCTTCAAAATATTTGCCAACAATGTCCCTAGTGCATGTTCTCCTAGATGGAACTAAGAAACGTGGGCATGCTACAGACATAAACTTCCTGAACCCAGCTTTTTCACAAAATGCAAAGGGGAGTTCATCCTCTATCATCATTTCCACAAAAGCATCCCTAATAGCATCAGGATCATATTTCCAAGTATTAACACTATCACCCTGATTATATTGCAACACAGCTTGTTTATCATCAGCAATATTTCTATGAGGATTACGCTTGCAAATATTAAAATGTTTGCGCAGAGCAGATGTACCATTAACAGTAGTATGGGCGTTGATATCACTCTTGCAGTACTTGCATTTTCCTTTCTGCAAAACACCATTGATCATGACCTTTTCAAAGTGGTTCCACATCTCTGATCTTGATGCCATCTGCTTCCGGGTATCTTTCTTGTCATTGTCATCCCCCTTCACAATCACAACTTTTGCCTTCCCAGTCCCTTGTTTGTCATCCTCCTTCCTTGCTTCCTCTGCTTGCACAATCTCAACATCACGATCACTGCCAGCGGCCTTCTCGACGTCCATAGGTACTACACCAACTGCTGTTAGAGCTGAAGAAGGCACAACCGTGTCTGTCCCCACGATTTCTTGAACCTCGGACGACATCTACAGTCAAACCAAATCAAATCAGATGGCTGGCAATGAAGAACAGTACTACAGTACTCTAGTTCTGCAATTATTTTGGGCCGCGTATTCATCAACAGGTCAACACAAGAATGATTTCAAAATGATTTTCAAACTAGACTGACATCAGATGCAATAATACAAGCACTATAGTCTATATTACAGAATGATTTTCAAACTCGATCGTGTTTCAGATTTTTTTAGATGGGGAAAAAAATGAACACATATCGAAACAGAGGACTTACCTTGCAGCCTTGCAGCCGTGGATCAGAGGCGTAGATCCGCAGTTCTGTAGGAGGGTGGTGTGAGCAGCGCTGCCGGCGACGCTGCTACGGATCCGTCTCCGGCGAGCCAGCGAGGATTCGGAGCTCCTCGTCCCCGCCGCTGCGGTGAGCCGGTGATTGAAGTCCTAGTCCTAGCGGGCGTTGCAGTATAAAAGGACGGGCCTCCATCGGGAACTCCAGCAAGGGACGGAAGCCGAAGCATCGATCAATAAACACCACCATGAGGGAAGCGAGGAGGCGGCGAATGGAATTGCAGAGGTCAGACAGGAAACGGCGGCGGCTCGCTCGCTAGTCACTACCTCACGGGTGCGGCTGCAAGGGATTAGGGTAAGGCTGTAGCGATAGCATATGGGCCGGCCGGCTGGGCCTTTATTTTACTCGGTGTTCGGTTAGTTCGGTTGACCGAGGGCCAAACCCGAATTCACCGAACTAACTTCGGTTTTCCAGATATACTAACCGATCATAGTACCGATGCTCTCGGTTTCGGTGTATTCGGCTTCGGTGCCGGTTATTTCGGTTCGGTACATCGGTTTTCGGTTTAAATGCCCAGCCCTAGCGACCGTGGCCCACCCATTGGATCCGAGAACCATGTTGAGTGTGGTCCAGACCGCATCAGCGATCTCCCGGACGCCATCCTTGGTGAGATCATCTCTCGTCTGCCCATAAAGGAAGGCATGCGCACACAAGTGCTCGCATCTCGGTGATGCCGCATATGGCGCAGCGCACCAATTGATATCGGCTTCCATGCGATCCTTGATACTCGTTCTACGAGATCTCTGGAAAAAATCTATTGCCAAATCATCCCTGTTCTCCTGGGCAAGCAAATCGTCCAGGACACATACATTGGAACTCAACGCCGACATCTTAGTTGCAACTGTCACGGAGAATTTGTCACCGATGGCTTCAGTCTTCCTATATCGGTCCTCTCCAATCACGAGGGCCCGATTCACCGCCTCTGCATCCCGACAAGCTACCTCCAGTGCCAACCTTGTGGCGTCGATGAGTTTTTCCTGTCTCAGAATTTGAACCAACTCCAGGTTTTAGAGTTCTATCATATATTCCCAAATTTCTTCTACACAGGGCCATCAGCACGCAGAATCCCTTCTTCTATGCCGTCACCACCGGCATCCATCTCTAGATTTCGCTCGTCTCTCAACACCGTCACCTTCGCCATGTGCAAAGTAGAAGACGATCTAGTAGAAATGCTTTGCCTCCCACTGCTCAGGAGACTTTCCCTGGTGGAGTTTTATATATCGTATGTCTCCTTGCAGAAGTTCATCCACCACGGTTGCCCTGCCCTGCAGTGCCTGCTGCTTGTTTGCAACAAGAAATTCTACTGTCTACGAATAAACTCAGCTAGGCTTGTAAGCATTAGCATTCGTTCTGACGGAGGAAAACTGATCATTAAGGATACGCCTTGCCTTCGGAGACTGCTACATGATTCTGTAGATGCACAACTACAAATAACAGTTGTGTCTTCGCCTGTGTTGGGCACACTGGGAAAAATTACTGAATTGCCCAACGAAACAAATACCATCATTGGGTCTACAGTTATGCAGGTACTGCCTCTGCATGTTACTTTGACCTGCGTTATTCAAAAGGACTTGAGATTCACATCCACGAGCTAATAATATCTCGTTATGTTCTCAATGAAGGGTCTCTGCATAAGTAGCCCACACGCGGTGCTGGATTCTGTCAAGACCTTGTTTATCTCACAGACATGCTTTAATCTGGATGATATTGTTGACTTGCTGCGATGCTTTCAATGCTTGCAATACTTGTTTATCGAGGTGATGATTTCACACACGTTGAAAGCCCATGCACAATATACATAATATACTGGCACTAACTGCTCAGTTTGTGTCACATCCCTAGCTTCTGGTAATGCACTAGGCTAGACCTCATGTGAGCATCATGTTTAAATTCAAATGAAATTGAATTGAGGAATTTTCAAAGCCTCAGAAGACCTCTAAAAATAACCAACATTTAAATTTCATCAAATGAGTCCAAGAAAATGTTCCTATTATTCCATGGAAATATTGGTGAGAGGTAAAATTTAAACCAATATTTTTGGAGTCACAGAGATATTTATTTTGGCCATTTGAATTAATCCAATAACTGTTTGCTTTGGATTTATATTTAATATATATTAAATATGAATCCAAATAATTCTGGAAGTTTGTGAGTGGCTTTGTATATATTTTAGTAAGCCACATAATAAACCACAGAATTTATTAAAATGGTTTAGTATTTTACTAAACTAAAACAAAACAGAACAAAATAGAAAACAGAACAAAAAAAATAAAAGGAGTAGAACTTACCTGGACCTACCTGCCCAGCCCAGCCGGCCCAGCACTGTGCTGGCCCGTGCCAGCCAGCTGCTTCCCCTTGCCAGAGTAGGCAGGGAGGTGAGCATGGCGCGCCCGAGCTCGCCACGCACCACCCAGCCTCTCTGCATCGCCCTGGTCGCCGTTGCGCCGCGTGGATCGTCTTCTGGTCGTCGCCCCGACCTCGCCGACACCCCATTCGCCCCCCCTACGCCTCTCCTCGCCCGTTCCCCGCCATGGCCGAAGCCTCCATGCACACGCTGCCGTAACCCCGCACCCACAGCCACTGCCCCACCTCTCCGACGTGATCCCGAGCTCCGCCCCGACGTCGTCGTCCTCTCCATCGAGTCACGCGGCGCCAGAAGCTCTGCTGCATCTCCAATGCCACCGTTTCCGACCTCGGGTGCCGGTGATCCCCGCCGTCGATTCGCCGGACCCCGTGCCTCCCCTGCCTCGCCAGCAGCACCAGAAGAACCGCGGTGAGCCGCTGCATCGTTTCCCCCATGCCTCGTTGTCTAATTCGCCCCCTAGCCGCATCAACCACCGGAGCCGAGAGCTCTTCGCCGCCGGCCATGTCGCCGCCGTAGCCACGGTTGCCTAGAACTGCAACCGAGCACGCAGCCGTGCTCAGTGCACCCCCAAGAGGCCATAGCACCCATCCGCACCCTCTGCTGCGCTCCCTAACGCCGACTCCGAGCTCACCCGAGCTCCGGCCGCCGCCTCGCTCGCCGTCGGCACCGATTCCGGCCGCCCCGAGCGCAACTGACTCCACCAGGAGCTTCGGCTCGTCCCCAGCTCCTCCTAGATGCCCTCCGCGGCCCATCTGGTCGCCGGAGTGGCCAAAACCACTCTCGCCGCCGCGCTAATGGTTGCCGCCGGCCAGAACTCTGGCGGGCTGACGTGACTTAGTTAATTAGTCACTAACCCCCCACCTACTAACGCTGACAAGTGGGCCCCAGGGCTTAGTCAAAGCTAACCAGCCCGGGTCAACGCGGGATTAGTCCCTGTGTCACTGACGTGTGGACCCCACACGTCAGGTTTGACCCGGGGCAGCCCTGTTGACTTGCTGACGCAAGCATGACGCAGTGCTGATGTCATAACTCATTTTCTGGATTTAATTTAATTCTGGAATTCCAGAAAATAGCTAAAACTTCAATAAATCATAGAAAATTAACCGTAACTCCAAATTAAATAATTTATATATGAAAAATTATCAGAAAAATTCAAGGAATCCATCTGTACCATTTTCATGCATGTTAGAACAACTTATAGATGCTGTTTAGCACAAATCACATAAATGGCATTTGAATAATCACATATGGAGTTTGAATTTGAATTTTATATTCAAACCAACTTCATTTAATCTGTTGCTAGTTGCATTAGCCCAAAACACATTCATTTTGCCATGTCATGATCATGCATCATGTTGTGCATTGCATTGATTGTGTTCCTTTCTGTGTTGCCGGTATTTGTCCCCTCTCGATAGACGTGATACCGATGATGTGATCGTTGACACTGATGAAGACCCAATGTTATCTTCAGAAGTGCCAGGCAAGCAAAACCCCCTTGTTCATTCCGATACAATCCTACTCTCTCGCTCCTGCTCTCTTTTACTGCATTAGGACAACATCGATTCATCTGTTACTTGCTGCGGTAGCTGAACCCCTTTATCCTCTGCATGACCTGTCATTCCACAGTAATTAGATGAAACCCACTAGCATGAGTAGGAGTTGTTTGAGCCCTGTTGTGCCTACTCATTCATGTTTGTTTGTCATGCCTGCTACTGCTTAGAGTTGAGTCAGGTCTGATTCATCGGGGATGAATCAGAGGCGTGTGAACATGTCCTACCGTGTGAGAGCTAAGTGTGTGAACACGATTTGGTAAAGGTAGCGGTGAGAGGCCATGTAGGAGTACATGGTGGGTTGTCTCATTGCAGCCGTCCTCAGGAACTGAGTTCTGTGTTTGTGATCCATGATTCAGCTACTACCACGCATTGGGCCCGAAACCAATGGACCCTCTCGGCTTCTTGATCACCCTTGTCCTCTGTCCAGGAGTTGCAAGTAGTTTCTGGTGTTTGTAGTATGCTGGAGGCCGTGGACAGCGCTGACCGTAGGGGTGGGCTGTGATGCGGTAGGCACGTGGCCGGGTAAACCGGGCGCCCGTTTGGTGTCACGGAACCCTGTACACATCGTTTGGGGCTTTGAGCGAAACTCCGGCCGGATCTCCTCATGGATGGAACCCGAATAGGCGATAAACCTGGACTAGAGACTTGAGTGTTTAGGTAGGCCGTGGCCGACACCCACGTTGGGCTTCCGCTTGAAGGTTGCCGAGTACATGTCGTGTAAACGGCGGTAAGTGGTGAGAGCGTGTG